GTGCCGGTTTGCTTTTCTATGCTGCATTATGAAGGGCAGTGAAATAACTCCGGGGTAGTTAAGTCAATCCCTATCCAGAGGCAGCAACTTCTATGAGAGGGACAGATACCTGGAGCAGGAGCCTTGTTGGGCACCATGAGTTTATCTGCTGCTGCCTCTGAGTCAACGCTCCATGTTAGCTCGAGGTAACGACCTCTAAATTACCTTTAAAGAAATCCCTCCTGAGCAAGTCTGTGCAGTCCTCTCAGCATTCTGCAATCAGTTTGGAAAAATTTTTCACTCCCACTTTTCTCTGCCGATTGCAGCAAAACACGGACTGTTAAAGCAGCTGAGCTGAGCACCCATGCCTGCACTGGTACCTCTCACCCTGCAATATCTTTATCAATGATCTGGACGAGGGGATCGGGTGCACCCTCAGTAAGTTTGCAGACGACACCAAGTTGGGCGGCAGTGTTGATCTGCTGGAGGGTAGGAAGGCTCTGCAGAGTGACCTGGACAGGCTGGATTGATGGGCCGAGGCCAACTGTATGAGGTTCAACAAGGCCAAGTGCCGGGTCCTGCACTTGGGTCACAACAACCCCATGCAGCGCCACAGGCTTGTGGAGGAGTGGCTGGAAAGCTGCCTGGCGGAAAAGGACCTGGGGGTGCTGGTCGACAGCCGGCTGAACATGAGCCGGCAGTGTGCCCAGGCGGCCAAGAAGGCCAACGGCATCCTGGCCTGTATCAGAACTAGTGTGGCCAGCAGGAGTAGGGAAGTGATCGTGCCCCTGTACTCGGCACTGGTGAGGCTGCACCTCGAATACTGTATTCAATTTTGGGCCCCTCACTACAAGAAGGACGCTGAGGTGCTGGAGCGTGTCCAGAGAAGGGCAACGAGGCTGGCGAGGGGTCTGGAGAACAAATCTTCTGAGGAGCGGCTGAGGGGGCTGGGGTTGTTTAGCCTGGAGAAAAGGAGGCTGAGGGGAGACCTCATTGCCCTCTACAACTACCTGAAAGGAGGTTGTAGCGAGGTGGGTGTTGGTCTCTTCTCCCAGGTAACTGGTGATAGGGCGAGGGGAAATGGCCTCAAGTTGCGCCAGGGGAGGTTTAGATTGGATGTAAGGAAAAATTTCTTTACTGAAAGAGTAGTTAAACATTGGAACAGGCTGCCCAGGGAAGTGGTTGAGTCACTGCCCCTGGGGGGATTTAAAAGACGTGTAGATGCGGCGCTTAGGGACATGGTTTAGTGGGCATGGTGGTGTTGGGTTGACGGTTGGACTCGATGATCTTAGAGGTCTTTTCCAACCTTAATGATTCTATGATTCTATGTACCAAGCGTAACAAAAACAACCTTCTGTGCGTGCTCTGCATCTGGCATTCACATAGGGGAATGCCATGTGTCCATTTATCAAGGACAGGGGCATGCATAGCTTCTCCTGGTTAATGCTGCAAGTCAGCCACTGCACCTGAGGAGAGCTTCAGAGACAGCCTGCACTGGTGTCTGCTTCCTCCTTCTCAGCCTCTTCCTTCTGATCCATGTATCCATTCCAGATACATTCATCCTTAGGCAGAGTCCTGGCATGGACATTTAATCCCAAATCACGAATATGTCAGAAAGTCGATGATTCAAAAAGAAGAAAAAAAGCCCCATGGGGCACACCAATAATTTTGGTGAGATATTTTCTTTGATGGTATATGTACAAGGAGGCAGTTTGAGCTATCTACTCCTGTTTATATTTTGAGCTTCTCCTAAAATGTACATAAACATTACCTTTTAGTCAAGGAATATGCAAAAAGTTACATGGTGCTACAAATACCTTATTTGCTCAAACTGAGGATGCACGCTATTGTTCTAACACTCTTGCATGGAATGTGAACTATCAGTACAAACGAGGAATTAAACTGAAAATCAATGAGCGCTCCAGGTTCTGTACTAATACTACTTGTCATAAACATTCTGGCTACAAACCCTTTGTCGTGTAAATCATATACAAATATTCTACAACATACAGTCATTGGTCTTACCTTTTCCACTTGTATTTATTTATTGTATAAAAATTCACTCTTGGACTACAATAGTTGCAGCAGGGATGAATTACTTCAATGTAAGACCTAAGCTTTGCTATTTTAAGTATATAATGTTACAATATTTCAGTCAAAACAAGTATTGTTATTCTAAACTATGTTCAGTATCTTGGCATAAAGAAGTTTATATTATGTAGTTTCATGGTCAATGATTATTCTAGAATTTCAGAGTGCTTTACAATGTCTGCAACATGAGTGTGTGTTGATCTCTGATTATCATAATTTCTGAAGACTGGCAGAGCACTTCAGTTAATGACACAAACAGAACAGAGTAGTTTTACTGAAGAACTGTAGTGCCATAATATTTAACTTGAACCAGAAACCATACTGTTATTTCTTATATTGCAAATGGTTAGCAACAGTAATTCTGCTTCCAAGTAAGTATTTGTGGGGCCCTCTTTCACTTAACGTTATGAATCCCAGTAGTGTGCTGAATAAATAGAGCTTGTCTTTTTAAGTTTCAGGGAACTCTTTAAGATGTCATAAAAAAAGAAAAAGGAATCATCATCAGGTTATTCTAATAATGTGGTAGGATATTGCTAGATATTGCTACTTTTACTTATTGTGTCAGTGGTCTGAAAATGAGACTGGTAGCTGTGAACACCTACGTGTTAACTGTGCCTCTGATAGCAAATCCTTTTGTGGATGTAGGCAAGTCTCCAAATCTCTCCTCCTCTATTTCTGTTCTTCAAAAATAGGGATCGTTAGTAAGTGTTGTTTAATAGTATTGCACACTATATGTGTCCAAAATGATGAGCACAGCAGCAGTGTGTGCCTGCAATAATTAACATGTCAGAACACAGTAACAAATTGCTTGCAATGCTAAATTTGACTTAGCAAAGCCGTTTTGCTCATGGAGGATGCATACGGCTGATTTGAGGAAACAACAGGTTCAGCACCAAAATGAAGCAGAGAAAAGCC